GCTAACGCCACAGGGGAGAAATTAAAGTTATAGTATGTAGTTTCGTTTGTTCCGTTCGAGTTTGCGTGATAACGGTCGCACAACTATATATATTTTTCCTAAAAAGATTGTTTCAGGCTCTCCTAGAAGGTATTGAACAACCGCTTTGGCCAATTATTGTATGGTCATCATGACATAGCACACACGTTGAAAAAGAAACCAAATGAAAATATTTGCGTTCATGGTGATGATCAAGAGTGCGATTATTTTTTCACCCGTGGTAGGGACTGCTTCAGATCGAAATACTGTGCTCTTCAGAAGGACTATATTGAGAAACTAGCATTACATATATCATCAGGCGCGTTTTATCCAGCTTTGAGTTAGAAAATACAACAAAGGTAGCACACTTCTTTTAACGGGCTCCAGGGCGTCCGCGGTGCCCGGGTGCCGGCAGTCGTACTATTGTCCCCCGGCAGCCAAGCTCGCCGGCACATTCAACAGCATCTGGGTGGTCAAGGCTCCATTCGGCACACAGGACCAAGATGGCCGACGGCTTCGAAGCGTACAAGTGACCTTAAGGCACCGCAGGGCCGGTGACGCTCCCCCCCCCCCCCCCGCCCCCATCACATCCAACAACCGCCTGACGCTTCAGACCCAAAGTTCTCGCGGGTTGTGGGCGATCGTTGGCCTGGAAACGAGAAAGGCCCCGAGGAGCTCAAAGGGCTGAGAAAGCCATGAAGACCAGACCGGGTTCGGAAACGGTCGAGTGACTGGGCCAACTCTGGTATAAAACCCCCGGACTAGGACCCCTGGACCTGACACGGTTGAGGTGTCTAACCGTCCGGACGGAACCGTGGCGGAAAGCTGACTACTTTAGACGTCTTAAGATTATAAAAGAGTGGCCAGAGAGTGGTCAGGCCACTGGTCAGATAGACCAGTGTCCAGACCGGTTGAGGTACCTGGAAAGGTGCCTAAGACGGAAGAGGATACGACACGGTCACGCAAGTTCCATCCCTTATGCTGGGAGAGATTCCAGCCGGCCGCAGACGATCAGGAGCCCAAAAATGGGCCAGAACTTCTTGATAAACAAGGGCTTCGACGTTCGAGGCCGTAATCGTGATAGAGATGTCCAAGAGGCTCGATGATGCGAAAAATTGAGATACATTTGATATAGACTCGCAAACTATTGTGGGCCTGCGAGGCATTCAGAGGCCAAAAGACGGACAAGGAAGAGGCTCGGACGTGGGTAGAGAGATATGATCGTGGCTCACTGTCAGTATCCTCATGCATTTGCATCATGTCAAATCAGTAGGCTCTGGTTCTGTAAGCAACTCCGTGGTTGTGAAAAGCCCAGAAAAAGCCCAGGCGGCTTTCACAACAAAAAGTGCTCACTTATCCGCAGAGATGACGCACATCGTAAAACTGTGGGAAGTAATGTTGGGAACTCTGTTGTCACACAAGTTTCTCGCAGAGTTGTTTCGATCGATGAGGCGAGTAGGCCAACCCCCGAGGAGCTTGATATTTTTCTACTAACGTGAATGAGCACGGGGGTCGTCCTATGTTTCATTCCGCTCGCGCGGAATCGACTCTGACTTCGACTCGCAGCGCACCGGGCTCATTTCAGCTCAGGTTCCCATGCCTCTGAGGCGAATGTGATTCCGACTCGAGGAGATTATACGCGATTCCGGGGTGAATTCTGATGGAACCAACCCCGTCGGTTGGAGTGAACTAGATGACTAGTTGTATGGGGTGGATAAGGACTTCTAAGGCTTAACGACTAAGGCTTACGGCTAAGTCTTAACTGCGCTGCGTCTTCGGAAATCATTCTGTGTAGACCTCCGAGGGGTCAAATTGACCTCCACCCGAGCACATGTTAAATAAGGCTTCTTACGACAGCCTTTATGAAATAGGAGAACAATACAGCTTTTCATTTGCGGCGCATACAAGCGTTGCCAGAACAAGGCGCCGTCATGGGCGTACGTTTCTTTTTTAATCAGCACACCACTTTTCGTAATGCTGACTCATCTCCAACTACGGGCACAAAGAAGCATGCTTCACTTTAACCCAACGAAAATTCGGGTGACTCCGGCGTCCGCTTCCACGGAACCATTCGCTTCCAACCCCGCTGGTCAGCCAGCGCAGGTCACAAGGTCGCCGCCCGCGCTGCAGACGGTAGCCTGTTCATGCCCGCTCCCATTGCCGCGTTGCGGCGCGCACCGCGTCGCGGCGGCGACGGCCAGCGCAGGCGGCCGGCGCGCGCCGACCCGACGGCACGGCGGCCGGGTCACCCACCTGAGCGGCGGCGGCGGCGGCGGCGCCGGCTGGCCGGGCGGGCCGCGCCGCCGCCGCCGGCGCCAGTCTCGTCGCCGCCGTTGTTCCGCTGCGGCGCGTCCTCTCCGGTCGCCGAGCCGGCGCCGGCGGCGGCGGCGGCGGGCCGGGCTCGGCGGCGCCGGGGGCGGGGCGGCCGGCGCCGACCCAAATCACGCGGCCGCCGTCGCTCGTCCGTCGGCTGGCGCCGCGGGGCATCCCCTCCCCGCCCTGCCCTCTGTCTCATCTCTGATCTGTTTGCTGTCTCGGCCTCGATCTGTTTGTCTTACTCTCCCTCTTTCCATTCCTTCTTCATTCCTTCTTTCTTTTCTCCTTTCTTTCTTTGTTTTCTTCATCGCCTTATGATTTTCTTTCTGTTTTTCTTCATTTCCCCCTTCCTTTCTTCCTTTTTCCTTCCCTTCTTCTTCCCTCCCTTCCTTTCTTTCTTCCATGCTTTCTTCCCTTTCTTCCTTCCCTTCCTCTCCTCTGACTCTTTCTCCCCTTTCTTCCTTCCCTTCCTCTCCTCTGACTATTCCTCCGACCCTCTATCTGTCTCTGCCTCTGCCTCTGCCTATGTCTCTGTCTCTCTGTCTCTCTGTCTCTCTGTCTCTGTCTCTCGTCTCTCTGTCTCTTGTCTCTGTCTCTCTGTCTCTCTGTCTCTCTGTCTCTCTGTCTCTCTGTCTCTCTGTCTCTCGTCTCTCTGTCTCTCTATCTCTGTCTGCTCTGTCTTCTGTCTCTCGTCTCGTATCTCTGTCTCTCTGTCTCTCTGCTCTATGTCTCTCTGTCTCTCTTTCTCTCTGTCTCTCTGTCTCTCTGTCTCTCTGTCTCTGTCTCTCTGTCTCTCTGTCTCTCTGTCTCTCTGTCTCTCTGTCTCTCTGTCTCTCTGTCTCTTGTCTCTCTGTCTCTCTGTTCTCTCTGTCTCTCTGTCTCTCTGTCTCTCTATGTCTCTCTGTCTATCTGTCTCTCTGTCTCTGTTATCTGTCTCTGTCTCTCTGTCTCTCTGTCTCTCTGTCTCTCTGTCTATCTGTCTATCTGTTATCTGTCTCTCTGTCTCTGTCTCTATGTATCTCTGTATCCTCTGTCTCTGTCTCTGTCTCTCTTGTCTCTCTGTCTATCTGTCTCTGTCTCCTGTCTCTCTGTCCGCTCTGTCTCTCTGTCTCTCTGTCTCTCTGTCTCTATGTCTCTCTGTCTCTCTCTCTCTCTCTCTCTCTCTTCTCTCTTCTCTCTCTCTCTCTCGTCTCTCTCTCTTCTTCTCTCTCTCTCTCTCTCTCTCTCTCTCTCGCTCTCTCTCTACTCTCTCTCTCTCTTCTCTCTCTTCTCTTCTCTCTCTCTCTCTCTCTCTCTCTCTCTCTCTCTCTCTCTCCTCTCTCTCTCTCTCTCTCTTCTCTCTCTCTCTCTCCTCTCTCTCTCTCTCTCTTCTCTCTCTCCCCCCTCTCCCTCTCCCTCTCTCCCACCCGTCACTCTCCACGCCGACACAGCGACTCGCACGGGGCGCAGGCGGCGGCGCCGGCCGCGCTGGCGCCAGACGGATGAGATATATGCGGGCCGGCCCCGCATCGGCGGAGCCGCCGTAAAGAACCTCCGCCGCCGTCGCCGCCCGCCTGTCCATAAATGTTTTCAATCGGAGCTGGGATTTGTTTAACTTGATATGGAAATAGACGGCCGCTGTTCGTCGGGATTTGAGGCTGTCGGTTGCCATCCTCGCTGCTCCTTCGCTGGAGACGTGCCCTTATTCCTATCCGGAGGGCATCGCGATGCACCGTGATGCCCCTCTTCGGCGGTATGTCTCGCTGAATCTTTGTGCACGGATGAATGGGTCGGGGAACCACACAGAAAGAAGCACGTGGTCTGCATCATGAAGTGTTCAGGAATGGTGATAAAAGAGACACGTGACGGGCCGATTGTCGTGTTTGACTTTCTGTTGTGTAGTGCAGTTTGAAATATTGCATCTGCCCGTCCTCTGACGTCCAGCTTACTCAGGCACCTACCCCTGTTCAGGGTACTCTGAACGGCACTCTGTTTCAATGTTCGAAGACTCTGCCGGTGTGGCTGATAAACTGGATCTGAATCGCGAGCGCCAGCGTCGTAGCTGTTGATGCGTACGCGATGTGCAAACCTGGCGTGACTGCCGGCTGCCGCCTGCTGTCGGATGTCGTGTGTGATCCCCGGCACCAGTGCCCGTTCGCGCCCGTCCTGACCACCGCGCGCTGCGCTCCCGGCTGCGCGCCGTCGTCGCCGGCCTGTGGGGCGCTGTGCGCCACGTCCGTCCGTCCGTCCGTCCGTCCGTCCGTCCGTCCGTCCGTCCCTTCCCTCTGCATGTCTTTCATTCTGTCCGTCGTCCCTTCCATCTGTCCGTCCGTCCGTCTCGACAGTCCTTCCTTCTGTCCTTCCTTCCTTCTGTCCTTCCTTCCTTCTGTACGTCCGTCCGTCCGTCCGTCCGTCCGTCCGTCCGTCCGTCCGTCCGTCCGTCCGTCCGTCCGTCCTTTCCTCTGTATGTCTTCCATTCTGTCCGTCGTCCCTTCCATCTGTCCGTCCGTCCGTCTCGACAGTCCTTCCTTCTGTCCTTCCTTCCTTCTGTACGTCCGTCCGTCCGTCCGTCCGTTCGTCCGTCTCGACAGTCCCTCCTTCTCTCTGTCCTTCCTTCTGTTCGTCTGTCCGTCCGTCCGTCCGTCTCGACCGCCGACGCCACTGAGCGGCGCCGGCGCGTGTTTCAGGCACCAGCTTCAGCACCTGGTGCCGGCTGGTGTACTTCGAGCGGCGGCGACGCGTGGGCCAGGTGGGCGGCTGGAGCGTGCGCGCGCCCGTGCAGCACGTCTTCTACAACCTGCCGCACGAGGACGGCCTGGCGTTGAGCGCGGTGGCCGCCCAGAACCCGCATCCGGAGCCGGATGTGGTGCGCACGCGGCAGCACATCGGTAAAGGTGAGTGCCGCGCCGGCGCGGGGCACTCGGCACACCCCGTCGCGCTTGACATGGCTAGTTTGCCGCAGTGGGTGTTGAGTGCCTAACGGTTGGACCCTGCGGTTGCGTTCCAAAGATATTGTTTCGCTATCGGACAGTCGAAAAACGCCCTCGAATCGCGACGCCTTGATGTGGCAGCGGTGTTGATTCAATGTCAAATGATTGACTGGGTGTGGATTTGTATGCTCTTGTTAAAGCCCAGACCCCCAATGTTGGTTTGTTGAAATGTCATTCAAAGCCTGCCTTCTTTGGGTATTATTTCATGGCTATGACTACAATGCTGGATGCTGAAATAAAAGGCCGTTGGATGAATAACACCAAAGTAAAACAAGCTGCTGTTCTTCAGCACAAAGTCCACCAGATCTAAGGGTGGGAACCACGCCTCGCGAGTTTGGAAAGAGCAAATCGGGTTTAAGGGCATCACGCTGGAGGCTGGGATACAGTGGGATATGGTAGTAGTATGCCTAGTGAGTAAACCTGAAAAACGTGCATTGCACGGGGATTTTCGAAAAATTGGGAGGATTTGCACCACTGACCTGCCCCTCAATGGTTGCACCCAGAGCTCCGTTGAGAAATCCTTATTTGGGAAGGTTAGCTTGTCGGGCCTTGGGCATGTATCCCCAATCATGTATCCAAATCGGCTCCTGATAGTAGGAGGACGTGCAAAACAGTAGGGGAGATTGTGATGTCACGAAGTCATTGATTCTGGAGCGTCGCGTGCGCTGGCGACGTTGGAGCTAGCGGGACCGGCGAATGCTGGCTCGTGTGACATGCATTAAAAGCTGCCCTAACGCGGGTACTAGCCTCATTATCTAGTCTTGCGTGTCGTGCGCCTTAAGTTGCGTCTGTATTGTCTTCCTTCGATTGATCGCCGCTTTGAAGATCAGTTTTGAAGGTATGTTGCCTCCCTTGCGTCCCAATTTTAAGCCCTACAGCCCCCCGTCCCTATCATTGCTAACGTAAGTAGTTTTTTGTGGCTTTCGTGTCGATTTCCAACGAAAGAGACGCTGCCATTCTGGGCGTCCGACCCCAGGTGGCCCGTGGTTGGGAGCGGGTCGAAAGTGCGCCGGCTGCTACCGCTGTCCGGCGGCGCCGGCGCGCGGCTGGCGCGACGCCACGCTCATGCCGCCCTTGTCCGGCGCGACGGCGCCCTCATGCCGCCCTCCTCCGGCGCGACGCCGCGCTCATGCCGCCCTCGTCCGGCGCGACGCCGCGCTCATGCCGCACTCTGTCTCCGCAGGCCTCTCGCTGACGCTGGAGTCTGACGGCGTGTGGCTGTACAACCGGAGCGAGCGGCCGCTGTTCGTGTCGTCGCCGACGCTGGAGCCGGCCGACGCGGCCTGCTCCGAGGCGGTGCACAAGCTGCCGTCCGGCTTCTCGCTGTTGGTGTTCGAGCCGCGCCGCGCGGCCGGCTGCCGGCGGCGCACGACTCCGCCGGCGGCCGGGCCGGCCGCGCTCGGCGCCGTCTCGGTCAGCTTCGCCAAGGGCTGGGGGCCGCGCTACAGCAGGCGCGGTGTGGACGAGTGCCCGTGCTGGATGGAGCTGTGGTTCTGCGGCCCGGCGCTGCCGCCGGCCGAGCCGCCGCCGCCGCCCCCGCCGCCTCCCCGCTAGTCAGCCGCTGTCCGGCCCCCTCTCCTGCCCCCCCCCCCCCGCACCGCACGCCCGCCGCCGGGGCGCCAGTGTTTTACCGCCGGACGAGGTGCTGCCAACGTATTTCCCAGACGGCTGTAACCAGTACTTCCTTGGACGTGCCTTCCGGAGTGGGTGGTGCCGCGCGCCGGGGCGGTGTCTGCGTGAGCAGGCGGGCCGCCCCTCGCAGCTAGCCGGACATGAACCCCCCGCTGAGGGGGCGGGGTCAGAGTCAGCCGGCGCCGGCCGGCCTCGGCCCGCTATTGTTTGTGAGAGACGATATTGCGTTATGTACAAAATTTTATATATGGTGAATACATTTGATACTGTGACATGCCAGCGATTGTTTTTATCGCCCATCAAAGAAGCGGCTACGCGGGCTAGGAGCGCGCGCAGCTGAGGAAGACGCCTGATGCGGCGGTGGTGCGTCATCTGACGGAGGCGCGACAAGAAAAGGCTTTACGCCTTCCTGACTGGAGAACGAAACGGCCGGAGCCGGTTAACCGCCGCATAAGAATGGCGCTACCTGAGTGGTGATTTCAGGATGTATGCAAAGAGGATTTGGTTTCGTACGCGGCGACGCAGTGCCCAGCGCCACCTTGGCACATCATTTCTGAAAGGTTAACTACCGCAAGTCAGGCTCCTCGTGGGCGCTGTGTACCTGCATTCGGCTATGTTTAGGGAACACCCATGAATTCCCGGAAGGGTGGACCGCCAAAGGATCGCAGGCATTGCGTGTTCGATTTCGCCACGAATGTGAAATACCGGGTCAAGTTTACTAAGCTGGAGGTCTGCCCATGGAGTTGGATATTGACTATCTTGCAGGACATTTTTAGGGTAGTCCGGTCGTTATGGAGTTCTGTTTAAAGAAAAAAGTACATGACCTGTGAGAGCTTGAAACGGTTTGCAAGACTTCCCCGATTCGTGAATGGCTACGTATGCAAATAGGCCGGTGACAATTACAAAGGAACGTTCTGTGGGGTGCGTTTGGCCGTGGCTGAACTCGCAACTTCCACTAAAAACCAAACCGTTGGTCCTGCTGGTGTCATAGCAGGGGTGCCAGCCCATAACACGTGCTATCGCAGCGATTTCGTGTTTCCGCGAGACGGCTCGGCGGCTGGAGGTGTGAAGCCCCCGGCACCTGCTGCAGTTGAGTGCCAAGCCTGGAGGCATGCCTCGGAGCGTTTGATGCTGGCACGTCAAGATTGGCATCTGTAATTGGCTAGAGGATGGAGAAGCATTTAGGAAATTCCTTGAAATAATATTTGCGAGATGTAACCGCGGAAGACGAAATCGCAATACATACGTTCGTGTTTATGGTTCAAGTTCAGAGCCTGTAACAACACATCAGCTCGAAATTTATTACCGGACGGCGGGGTCTTAGCTCCCGTCTTATATCTTCCGCTCGCCAATCCAGGTCTTCTCGGAGGATTCCGGCGTTGAAGAGCTTCCGTACTTCAAAGGTGACTTGTTATGTCTGAACACTTGTGTGCTGGTTTCGAGGTTTGGAGGAGGTGGTGCTGGTGATGGTGGTGGGGTGGGGGGGGGGGGGGGTCTAGAGGACTAAATTCTTTACATTAATAGGTTATGGATAGATTACATACACCAGACTTATCCGTGAAACATAGAAGCTGATCAATTGAGACTAACTTTCTTGGCCACGGTTGTCGTCACGTGTAGATAAATTGGATGCAACAAATGTTGCTCTTGATTTCGAGTTTGAAGAATGCAAAGCACACATACGTGCATAGAGTAATGCCATTGTTTACAACATCGTTAATTTTCAAGAAAAGTCACCATGCAAACCGATCTGAGGCCAGAGATCTTGGGCCGAACAGAATAAAAAAGCTTTTTACAAGCGGAATGGACGCGTTATAACATATTGAAAAATTTTAAACGTTTTTAGCTGATTCCTCCATAACACCCCAGCAAAATCGTGCTTGACAGGCTACCTTCTAGTGTAAAAGTAGTGTAATTTTGCGTAAAATGGTGACACACTAGTGGAACCATGAACACCGACAAATACAGAAGGAATGTGGTTTGCAATCAGTTGGGAGGCAGGACTCCAATCTCAACTGGGAGGAAAGTGTGTCAAAGTCGGGAACAAACTCGTTCTTATGCATTTGGGCAGCAGAATTAGTCATTTTCTGCTCAGCCCTCCAAACTTATTTTATGAAGCTACACCATTGGGGTCCAGAATCTGCTCATGCGTATCGAAGTCGTGGGTTTGTATTTTTTAACGCACAATGTCGTAAATAAGATGAAGCAGGTACACATAATTGGGAAAAACTGCGGCAAAGTCGGTCGCAAGTTCTCTTACCTTTCGCGTTTTTGTAGGGTCTACGCTCAACATTTTATCCCTAACTTACCTTTGCGTATGGAAATGTGCAGACAAACGATGTCTTTCCGTATGAAAATAGGCAATTTCGCGCTTTTCGAACCGTACCGGCAATCACATCTTAATTGTACGCTGGAGAGAGGTAAAACACCACGATCGAAATCAAATTGTCAAATCGAATCTTTGAGTTCGAAGTGAATTCAAATCGAAATCGAAATCAAATTTTATAATTGTACCGGCAATTGCGCCTAAATTGTACACTGGAGAGGGGTTAAGCAGCACGGTCGGCATCTCCGCCTTAGATTGTCACACAGCGGGCGAATTTCGGCAAAATTTGAAAAGTGGCTTAGTATGGCATGACATTTTGGTAGTCAACTTATACTGGGATGCCCTCAATGGAAAAATAGGCATACCAACTTATTTCCATACGCATTGGTTACCAACCATTCCTGCGGCCTTTTTGCGGACGAACTTCGTCTGCTGCAAGCATTCGCTTGCGCACGGTCGTTTACGAGCAGTTGCATCCATTCCTTACGAATAGGAACTTTTCCTATGCGAAGTATTTAGCCGATGAACCTTTTGCCATCACGCACAGTTTACACTCATAATTTATGCCGGAAGAACATTGGCTTGCAGCCTTTTGCATGCGTACTTTTGCTAGACGAGCTCACGCACATTTACGGACGAACAATTGCGTACGTGCGTTATCCATGCATACTTTTTCATTGCTATCCTACATTCTAAAACCATTTCGTGTTGGACCGTGCTGCCACCTATTTCAGATGTGTACCAATCGCATGGAGAGGGGTGAACTGATCACATGTAGAGGTCAGCACAACGATACATATATAGCACAGGTTTTACAACAGTACGTATGAAAAAGTGCACATGCATAAACTACGTGCACACTTGATCGTGAGCGAATGCGCGTGAGGAAAAAGTTCGTACGGCAGAAGTACATGTGCCAAAGATTGCACACAAAAGTTTGCAAGGAAATGTTTGCATGATGTATTACGCCTTGAAAATGTTCGCATTAATAAAATTCGTTTGGAAAAAGATCCCATACATAAAGTAAGCACGTCATTGTTCGTAAGCGATCAAAATTACGCATATGCCCATATGCCCGAAGCGGGGAAAGTTAGCTTGGCTGAGACGCGCACGCAAATGTTCGGGAGCCAACTAGGCGTAGGAGTACCCCACTAATGTTTAGGTATAGGTATAGGAGCAGGCGCAGGAGCATTCCACCAATGCGCACCCTGGAGTACCCCTGCGCGCACCGCACTTTCCGAGGGGGCCAAACATTAAGCCTATGGCGATGCATGAAGAGAATTGACGTGGGGATGGTAAATGATGCTTCTACGGGGAGCCAGAGTGTTCCAGGACAAATTGACAAAACAAAATTGCGCACTGATAGCCCTTAAACTTCGCTGAAATCTGACTTCAGGGGATAACCTTAAGAAGAAATTCCAGTGATTCTAGCTCAACCCAGCGCACACCCTAAAGAAGTGCTCTCAGGAAATACTGGGTCGGTTACAAAAAGGGTCGTCATCAAAGGAGGTGCTTCAAAGCGGATAACGGTAATTTGATTTATCATTTTCCTATCATTATTCATCCTTATCATTTTCCCTGAACTCCGATTTATTTTATTTGAGCAAACTTATGCCGGGTGCCACTTGCACATCTGCATGCGAAGTTTTGCGTATGCACTACAGTCGGGCGGAATTAATTCCCGATGAACATTTGTGTACAAACTTTCTGTATTTACATCAGATATCGACACACGAACCTCTCCTGGCGTACTTTTTGAAACAAACGTCATCCACAGTGAATACTTGCTGTAGGACCAGGGTTCAAATGGCTTAAACAATTGCGTACAATCTTCTTCCATGGTAAGCTTTGTGCGTTTGAACATTTTTGTTTCGAACATTTCTCTGACGAACATTTTACCATGCGATGCTTATTCATGCATGCTTTAGCATTACGAACTTTTGTCGTCACAGGCTTTATACACCACATACTTTATCCTGGCGAACATTATGCGTGTGTATTTTATCCTTCAAGCGACTGTCGCGCGCAGTTTTTCTATCCGTACTTTTGCTCGTGACCACCTAGTACCTACCGCTGGATCAGTCAGCTATGCCCCGAGTGTGCTCAGTAAAAAGGGCACCGGGGTATGCAACTTAACTCACCCTACATGCATGAACCTTCCGAGTTTCGTTTAACGTGTGATTTAGCCTTGGGATAACGTAAACATTTACGACGCCAGTAAATGAAGCGTTGATTTCGGCTGATGAAAGCCTGCGTTTCACAAAGAGGACTGTCACAAGAAAACCGATGTCACTGTACATTGCACACCATCATTGAGATTGGACACAGGAATGACAGTTTTGAGACGTCGGCGCCGTATGCTCAGAACTCAATGACCATGTTGGGCCTTCTTATCATGTAGCCTCTCAATGCGGCCATTTTGGGGCCATTTTGCACGGTTCAAGCCATACCGCGCTTGTGGTCAAATACGAGCAAATAAGATGATTTGATCCATTGCAATTCCTAAAGAATGACTCTGACCCAGTGCCATACACTTTCTTTCCCAGGGCTGAGGAAGGGATTTGGGCTATTCCGAAATGTACAATTCAGCAGAAATAAGCCGATTGAAATGCTAGATTCTCGTATTAATCATGCTTCAGCTCAATCATACTTGAAAACCTATCAACTCAGCATAGTGATGACATCTTAAAGATTATTTCGATTTGTGGAAAATGTGACAAAAGTGCGCTGGCTTGGGAAACATCTAAGGTTTGATATGCTCCGTAAATCGTGTCATATTCGACCGAATGATTGCGACTTGAAGGGACTGTCCCACCTTTGAGACATTTTTGTTCTTCAAAAGCACGCTATAGTGAACCCTCAGGGTACGCCCAATGATACCACTGGGCAGTACCACTGCACCACCGTGGCATAATAAGGATATCGTCATGACATAATGAGGATATCGACTCTAACCATTTTCGCGCCCAAACCACGCTGGCAACACTCTGCAGCACCAGCACACTTATTCCCTGCTTGCGCGACCGCTGTCGTCATGACAACGACCGTTTGCTCCCCTACTGGTGCGAACAAGGGACCGTTTGTGATTGACCCAGCGGGCGGCAAGGGCCTATTACCGACAAGCGCACTGGTTGAAGTTTGAACCAGTGCGTCGCTATGGACCATGCGATACCCTCATTCCCAAAGCCAAAGTGCGCTCGAAAAGAGCCACTGTGTTAAGCTCCATAGGGGATAAATTAGAGCCAAAGTATAACGCTTAGTTTAATTCGCGGGATAATCGCCGTATGCGCGCATATATTTTTATCTAGTGTTTCACCAATGTAGTCGGTGCTGCCCCAAAGCCCAAATCATCATCACATCTAGTGTTTCAATCTTTCGTGGCATTTATTACGCAAGCATTTTAACACATTAGTGCGTTGCAAATATCTCAAAACACACACGTTGGAAAACGCGAGGCAAATGGAATACATTACTACCAAGGAGTCAGATGCAATTGATACCGCAGGAGCGGCTACTTAAGATTAAAAGTCCAAGCCGTTCAAAAGGATTCGAGAAAACTGGCTGTCATTGATCAAATACTTTGCGTTTAATCTAACAACAGGTTGTACAAAAATGTCGGATGGTCCCTTTAAGTATGGTTCAGGATGTACTGGAGGAAAGTAAGAAGAAGAGAACCGAAGCCTTCGAAATATAGCTGGAGAAAAAGAGTGGTGCAAAAACGACTTACAAGTAGGACTGCACAACAGTGTTTTTTATGGTCTTAGAAAGGAAGATTAAGCGACTGAGTGGTAGCGATTGCCAAAAAGTAAAGCAAAGGGAAAACGCCAACGTTGAGGAACCACACAGCTGTTTAAAACAACAACAAAAAAAAACCCGCCAGATTTGAAGCCAACCAATGGAATGACAACGAGGAAAGAATCGTTGATGTATTGGACAAGCTTGGAGAAGGCATTATTCGACTATTACGCCTGTGCCTTGATACCACATACTTGCTGGTCAAAGACGATTTTCATGAGCAAACGCGGGGTACAGCAATGGGAGTTCACGTCAGTGCGGTGCTAGTCAATATGCCTATGGAAAAATTGGAGCGAGAGGTATCGAATGCTCTTCCTCCTGAAGTCAAGTCATGGAGAAGGTATGCAGATGATGCGCTTGCCGTGTTGACAGAGCACTACGCCCAAGAGCTCCTCAAACACTTGTGTAATAGAAACAAGGCATGCCCGCGATCTTATTCACGAAAGAAATAAAGTGCAAATAACTCTCTTTCTTTCCTTGACATTTCAATATCACAATTTAGAGATGACGCCTCAGTACAGGAATGGTTGGAAAGATGACACGCGTGAACAATTATCTGGACTTCATGTCACATGGTAGTAGTCAGCACAAAGAGTCTGTGGTCAGATCTCTCGTGCACAGGGATTTTCCGGTCAAGTCGAGACAAAAATAGGAAAGAGAAAAGGAACGTTGGCATACTTTAAAACTTGATAAGCACCCCGCTCGTGAAGAAGTGTTTGAAAATATTATAGAGACCTAGGCAGACTCGAAGGAAAATCGGGCGCTCCATGATCATACTGTCTGCAAAATGAGCGTCCAAGAGAAAATCGCGGAGTTTGACACCACAAGCTCGCGAAGCCACCAGACCATATGCTAACCTTCGGAGTTACCTAAAGTGATGCCAAGACAAGTTAAACAGCGTGGCAAAAGATCGGAATAATTTGCCGACACACACGCCAATGCGGAAAGGCTTATGTTGGAAAACCATGCATAAGCATGAACGGCTCAAAAGCAGATAACGGTGAAAAAACGCGGAAACAAACATTCAGGTCTATGAAGAGACATTCTATACGCAAGCCATAGTGGTGAAGATACGCAAAATTGCAACACAAAAAATGGTATCAAATGGTGAGCACATCGCATGCATTGAAAAGTTTACATTCATTGCCTACCTGAGACGTAAACTGATCATTCATCTTGCTTTCGTTGCCTCAGAAGGATGTTTATCCTGAATTGTGGCTGACTTTGCATTTGTTATAAGCACTGGTCTAAATTTGATTTGCATGGTGCTGATTGGCATCACACAACGCAATACTGAGCATTAGATACTCGATACCTAATTACTGGATTGACCAAAACTGAATGTCTCCGCTCGAAGTGATTTCAAACATGCAGCCGTACGCAGTAAGTAAGAAAAGACAACCCAAATCCCATTCAGCCTAAATAAATACGATGCAACCTTGTGCGCAAATATTTGACGTCTCTGCATTAAAGACGCAAACAAAAAGTTAACCGTTGCAAAACTCAGAATGCGTTTTAAGCGATTATCTGACGCCACACCGTACAAGACAACGACGTAACCGCAAGCGATCGTAAAACGTTGTACGTGCACTGCAAGGGATGTGTAATAGACACGTCATGGATGGTGTGGTCTAAACAACATGCTCTCGTCATGCGACATGCTGTTGTAGCCGCACGCTGCAGTTTGTGGTTCTCACCATTATCATGCCTGCATGCGTTTCGGTAACGGTGTCCCGACGACAGTGCTGCTGCAAATAGTGCGACCGAAAGAAATATGACAGCAATAATTCTACGCCACTTTACTGTTACTGTGAAAACTTTCACATGCTTAATTTATAAGCGACATGACTTGTACTACAATTACTTGTTTATGCACGGCACAAGTGCGACACAACGAAAAGCATGCTTCAAAACCTGCAAAGACTTCTACAGCTTTATTTTCGAGCGTATGACTTTTCCTGCCAGCACTTCTGCGGGACATTGGTGCTTGATATTAAAACACATGCCATAAAGCCTTCACCCGCCGTTACTTTTACTGAAATACTTCTACATGCTTTACGATTGTATGCGACATATTACTTCTACTGCCAACACTTGGGTGGGACATTGGCGCTGCGCGGCAAAATGGTACACTCCAAGAATTTACATCCACTATGGCTTTCGCTACAAAAACGTCTGTGTTTTTAACAACTGTGATATCACTTCTGCTCTCAAAACCTACACGCGAAGGAAATCTTGACGACAAAACTGATTCTTCAAAAATGTCGGCATTTCTGCCATAGGTCTAGCTTCACCGAAATCTCGGAGGTAGCCCACACATGAGAGCCATTGGGTGGGTGAAATCACAGCAGAGGTGATCACTCTATGGTATTACAAGATTTATTTTTTTCATTGATATTACTACAATGGCTCCTTCTGCCTACGTTCCTAAGCTGTGGCATGTGAGGCGGACACAGGTGAAGCTGCCCCCATTGCATCTTCGCCTTCATCCTCCTCCGGAATAACGCAGTGGCAAGCGCTGGGCGAGTGCCGTAGAGGTGGTTAGCTACATCACAAATCCACAAAATCTAAAATAAACAGCACGAGTTGCATGAAAATGTTGAGTTCGACCCGTCATTTGACCTCGATTTTGGCTTTTGAGGCGGATCTTGAAAGGTCAGGACTCCCTTACATACACTGGTTTCTGCGATGAAGAATGTTTTCATGCTTGACAATCCGAAACAGACTGATAAATTTTGTGTGGCATAGAGTTCCCCATCAGTTGACCTAGAAATTGACGCTGAAAGCCACGGTGTATTTTAAAAACAACACGGGTGTCAGATTTGGGGTACTCGTGCTTTAGTTAACTATCCGACGTGCTTTCAACGAAAGCAGAGCTTGCCAATGAAGAGCTAGCTAAATAAATGGCCATCTTCACGGACATCTCGGTGCGTTTACATTACTTCATTGCCCCGATTTTTGCAATTTCAGCACGCATTCACCTACATTGGCGCATTCATTAGCAGGGGGGACGTGTCTAGGCGGGCTCTTATATACCATGTGACGTGCCTATACACCTCTGAATATAGATGAAACATGTGCCAAATTTCGGGGCCCCGTGAGCATGTTTTGCTGATTTGTGGAAATAGCCCGATGGCCGATACCAAAAAGCAAAATAGGCAGGGTATGCTCCAGTTTGTTTATAGAATAAAGATAATGGGGAAAACAAGGTTAGAAGTATAGAAATTATAACTCAGTTATTTAGGCGGAAGTCATCATCTCAAACCTCAAAGCATAATAAATTGATGCCTATGAAGTACAACAAGTTCGTCACCTGATCCTTTGATCTTTGACATTAATGGCGTCCGTTGACGATGCTGGCGCCGAAAGAGGTTTTCGCTGGGAGGTGGAGGAGTGTTGCAGCTGGGCTTTGCTCCTGCGAGCGTGCCGGGTGTCGCGTGTGGGGGAATTTGTGTGCAGTGAACCCCCTGGATATATTTAAATCATTTGAGTGGCGTGCATTCTGTGGTAGGCTATAGCAGTCTGGATTAGATCTAGGCACAGGTTCGTGGGTTTCCGGACAGTGTTGCCTCCTCGCGTGGTGGGAGGTTTGTTAGCCCAGAAATCCCTGAGAGTGACCAAAGATGGCGACCACTATAACCGCACAACAAGCGCGGATTGACCACCAAATGGCTATCACGAGGGACTACATATCGCAACCCCGACTGAGTAAGTTCAACGTGTCTCCTGTAGTGGGGACTCAAATAATTGAGCTGTCTCCAGCATGTCCTGAATGATTGTTTTACTGATATGTACCATTTACTACCCTAAATATTCCTCATCTCATACACCATAAGTCATGAGAGGTTACCATATAGATCAGTCTGCAAACATGGCAAACCACACAACAGGTCATTTGGGACAGGTCCGATCCCTCCTCAAATGGGACAGCCAATGTCCATGTTCAGCAGGGGCCAGTTCTTTGATGGCAGGATCAATATTTTCCACATCCCACAATCTAACTCATGCCTGCTGACTTCTTATTGCTCCTGCTGCTGTCTTGCTTGAGATGGGTCAGAATCATACTGATTTTAACTTGAAATGTTTTGCATTTGATCAAATTAACACATTTCATAGTTTGAGAGAAATCATATGAGCATTGGTTATTTATGGCTTGTTTACATTTTCAGCATATACAGCAGTTGCAATATGCCCCTGGCTTGGGAGCAAACTGCCTCATGCTTATTCAAGGTTGAATGAGTGTATCTCAGCCTGAAATTTATTCTATTGTACCCAGGACAGTATCCCTACTTTGAGCAGTACATATCAAAACAGAAGTCAGCCATTGACATGACCCTGGCACATGTGTAGTGGGTAGCACACTAATTGATGGTTACTTTATTGCTGATATGTTTTTATGGTACAGTTGTTTCCAAATCAATTCCTAGCTTAATGTTTTACATTTGGACTTTCCTATTTTGTGTCATTTATCCATTTGGGCTATTAACTAATATACCTCTGCCAATGATGTAGTTTCCTATTCAGTTGGAGGATCTTCACAATCCCCATCTCAGGCTTCAACCCCTCAACTTTGGGAGGAAAGGGGGCTGTGTCTGGTTTAAAACATGTTTGGTGGCATATTTTCTAGGTATGCTGGGCCATTTTTCATTGTTCAGCCCTCCCAACTCATTTTGTGCAACCATACCCCTGACCTCAGCTGTTGCACCCTGTTGCTGTGTGCCAGGTCATGTTCAGGTGAGACCATCCTTGAGCTGTAGGTCAGAGTCATGCCTTTCACTAGCATACAAAACTGAATGGGAAGTGGACAGGACAAGATGGAAATCATTAGGACCAGACATGACCAGATGGGACTGGGCAAGCCAGGACTGGACTGATTCTGAGCTGGCCTCATGCAGCCCTGTCTGGTCCTGTCTGGCTCCTTCCAGTCCCATATGGTTTAGTTCATTCCTGTGCAGCGGCGTCCAGTTCTGCTCAGCCCCGCCTTTTCCTGTCTGATGCCTTCCGGTCCTGTCAAGTCTCGTCTCATCCCGCCTCGCCTTATCCCGTCTGATGCCTTGGGTCCCGTCTCACCCCGTCCGGCCCGGCCTTGTCTCGTCCGGTGCCTTCCGGTCCCGCCTCATCACGCCCGATCCTGCCTTGTCCTGTCCGGTGCCTTCCGGTCTCGCCTGGTCCGATGTGGTTCCGTCGTTTTGGTCCGGCTCCATCCAGTGCCTTCTGTCATTTTCTGTACTGAGATGACTGACGTAGTGGGAACGTGGAAGCGTTGGTAAAAGTTGTTCCGGCCATGGGTGTTATGTTGCTGTGTTTGGTTCAAGATGGATGCATTTAAAGTTTGTGTTCCGCATTTGTATAATATTTTGAACTACAACAGCCCCTTGAGGATCATTTGGTGCAGTTCACAGCCCTGTCCTTCTTTAGACCTAAGCGCCTCTAGTTTCTGATCCTCACACTCGCGAAGATATGCAAACGATATCGGGGGGGGGGGGGGGGGGGCTATTTCAAGGTCACCCAGGCATCCATGACGTCATAATAACATTATTCGAATCCTGCCATTTCATTAGGCATGCGGCGAGTAAAGTCAATAGCAATATAGTTAATGAATCGTTCATATCTGGTGTTCGTGAGCACGATTTCTAGACATAACAGCTGTCAATTGGCTCTCAATCAGTGTTGTGCATGGTACAGTGACGTAATCAAACAATGACATATTAATGGGTATATGTACCAAAGAAGGCAGTTGTGGTGTTTAAACCAGTCTTTTCCAGTTACAAGTACACCAGTAGATATAAGTGAGCTTATTTCATCATACATGATGTTTGCCTCGAAATCTTCACGCGTGGAACATTCCCTTCAACCCCTAAGTTGGTTCATTCCGTCAGATTTTCAGTGCAATGGAGACGGTATATCTAGTGCGCAAATTCAGGTTTTGATAAGCCTCCGTATGTCCGCATGCCTATGTGCGCGTGCCTGCAGGCGTGGACAGACCTTGGTGTGCCTGACCCCGCACGTAACGCGTGTTCCACCCGCCACCGTCAGCGTACAAGACGGTGTCGGGCGTGAACGGTCCGCTGGTGATTCTGGATGGCGTCAAGTTCCCCAAGTTCGGCGAGATCGTGAACCTGACGCTGGGCGACGGCACCGACCGGCAGGGCCAGGTGCTGGAGGTCAGCGGCTCCAAGGCCGTCGTGCAGGTCAGTGGCAGCAGACGCCGCCATCCGTCTGTCGATCAGGGGTGGCCGTGAGTCTTACCAGCCTGGCACGGAGAGACGGGCAGGAGGAGGGGCGAGGACAGGTGCAAGGGCGACGCTGAGGCTCACACTGAGGCTGGGACTGGGGCTGGAGCTGACGCTGGGGCTGGGGCTGACGCTGGGGCTGATGCTGAGGTCGAGGCTGAGGCTGAGGCTGAGGCTGACGCTTGGGCTGACGCTGACGCTGACCCTGAGGCTGAGGCTGAGGCTGAGGCGCACACTGAAGCTGGAGCTGGGGGTTAGGCTTAGGCTTAGGCTTAGGCTTAGGCTTAGGCTTAGGCTGAGGCTGAGGCTGAGGCGCACATTGAAGCTGGGGCTTAGGCTTAGGCTGAGGCTGAGGCTGAGGCTTAGGCTTAATGCTGGGGCTGGGGCTGACGCTGACGCTGACTCTGACTCTGAGGCTGACGCTGAGGTCGAGGCTGAGGCTGAGGCTGAGGCTGAGGCTGAGGCTGAGGCTGAGGCTGACGCTGAGGCTGAGGCTGAGGGCTGAGCTGAGGCTGAGGCTGAGGCTGAGGCTTAGGCTGAGGCTGGCTGAGGCTTAATGCTGGGGTGGGGCTGACGCTGACGCTGACACTGACTCTGGGGCTGACGCTGAGGTCGAGGCTGAGGCTGAGGCTGAAGCTGAGGCTGAGGCTGAGGCTGAGGCTGAGGTTGAGGCTGAGGCTGAGGCTGAGGCTGAGGCTGAGGCTGAGGCTGAGGCTGAGGCTGAGGCTGGGGCTGGGGCTGGGGCTGGGGCTGGGGCTGGGGCTGAGGCTGAGGCTGAGGCTGAGGCTGAGGCTGGGGCGAGGCGAGGCGAGGCGAGGGAGGAAAGGGACTGAGAGGGAAGGAAAATAAGGGAGAAGTAGAGGGGAGAGACTGCGCGGTTGCCAGCTCGGAAGTTGGACCCGAACCTGTCCGTCTCCGGCGCCGTCGCACCGGTCGGTCACTACCGGAGCCTGTCAGCTACAGCTGGGCCCGCGACCGGCAGGTGTTCGAGGGCACGTCGGGCATTGATGCCAAGAACACCATCTGCGAGTTCACGGGCGATATCTTACGCACGCCCGTCTCCGAGGACATGTTGGGTCGCGTCTTCAACGGCTCCGGCAAGCCCATCGACAAGGGGCCGCCCGTGCTGGCTGAGGACTTCCTCGACATCCAAGGTAAGCGAGTGCAGCGCTTACGCAGTTAACAGTCAGCTAGTTCATGCTATTGGTGCCACACGGGTGTACGCAAACGCATTCGACTGGCAGGACGAATCGTTTTTCATCTACTTCTGTTATGCATTCGTCATTTCTGTGGATGGAGTGACAGACAAGTATCTCGCCATGTTTTTCCTGCGCTTTGTCGTTTTCGGCTGCACGATTCGGCGTCTAGCGTCGGCCGCAGCGATGCTGCCTTCGCTGCTGAGCCCTGCGTGTGCCGCCCGCCAGGCCAGCCCATCAACCCGTGGTCGCGCATCTACCCGGAGGAGATGATCCAGACGGGCATCTCGGCCATCGACGTCATGAACTCGATCGCTCGCGGGCAGAAGATCCCCATCTTCTCGGCGGCCGGGCTGCCGCACAACGAGGCAAGTGGGCGGCGGGTGGCCTTTGACGGTGGCGACTTACTACGGAGGCGGCGCATGACCTCCTGTCAGTTGTCATGTTGTAGGCTCATTTGACAGGCAGTGTAGTGCATTGTGAAAACTCATGGTGTGCCTGCTTGCTGTCCTGCTGTTAGAGGTGGTCTGTGCGGAGCGGGGTGGTGGCTGAACACGTCTGGGAACGGGCCGGGCCGCAGCCTTAGCCGCAACCTCAGCTGCAACCGCAGCAGCAGCCGCAGCCGCAGCCGCAGCCGCAGC